AATCACTGCTCTGGTTCTCTACAAGTACTCTTCTAAGAGTAGTTTAGAATATATTTCCCAAAGTACTTAGTTCCTTAGATAAAATGAAATTATTCAAAAAAATGTAATCAACTACATGAAGATAAATTTAAGTATCTAAGATAGCCTTGTTTGTTTCTAATGCACAATGATGTAATTCCCCTTGAGATTTACTAGAGCAAATAAATGAAATCCTAAAGTTTTACTGTAAAATAACACATTGAAGACCTTATCCCTGATTCTTTTCCAAAGTCAATATCAGCCTAACTCATTTATTCATTTCATTAAATGTCTAAATATCTACCATGACAAAGCCTATCTAGGTACTAGGGGCAGATGATCTGTGCTCAAGGGATACAGACTCATATTAAAGGTAAAAGGGTAATCTGCCTGTTTTCCAGCATGACAAATAACCAGCCATTGAGGCATGGCCCATGGAGCTCATCTTCTTTGCATACTAACAAGCCTGCCATACTTCTTGGCCACACAAAGTACAAAGCCAGCAAGAGATGTCATTGTCTTATCACTTACACCCTAAAGCTCTCATTGGCTCCACTCAACTCAGTCTTTCTTCTTTACACCTTCATATCATGAATTTTATAAACTTTTATAATGACCTTTAAATGAGTAAGTGATCAGGAAAAAATATTTTTTTCAGTTTTTATTTCAATAAAACAAGAGGCAACACTCATGGTATAAAGTACTGCACATGGAGAACATTGACACATATACAAAAATTCAAAAAAACTAAACTCCAGTTTATTACCATAACCTTAAAAAGGTAGGGAACACATAAAAATATCCAAAGTCATAGTTTATTCTTCAGGAGTGTAAACGCTAAGAATACAATTAGAAACAAGTATATTACTATGAAAAAATTAGTACCACTCCATGACTAGAAGTAAAGATAAGAGGTACGCAATAAACTCCATACAAGAGGAAGAACAATATGTGAAATAGGATCTTGAATTTACAATAAAAACTTCCTATGAAGATACACATACTCTACTATAAAAAAACACATCTTCTAAAGGTCCACAGCTAGTCTCCTTAGATAAGCACAAGTTACAAAGTACAGAAGACAACATCTTTATGTTCTCTAATGACGAACTTAACAATATTAAACATAAATCTGAATAACTCCAAGTATCGAGTATAGTTTTACTTAGCAACAAATCTAAAAGTATAAATGCATGCTCGCTAAAGGAATCGAGTTTTAATTTTCCATCCAAAAACTGAGAAGACATTATTATACATTAAACTTTATCTACAATATTTAAAGTACTCCCAAATTATTTTTCTAAGTGATTTTTTAAAAATATTTTTTCAGTGACATTATTCAGCATACCTATTTCCTTGATGTGCTTCCTTTTAATAAAGACTTATTGTGCCTATAGACTCAAAATGTTAACCTGCCTTATCTTAAACATTTAAAATTATGTCTCACAGTAAATACATATTTTCTCCATAATTTAAGTTTTAACACTTTAGTTTTATTTTTCCAAAATAGGCAAAGTCCCTTAAAACTGGGATCATTTTGATCTATTTTGGTTTTAAAAAATATATTTCCCTTTTATTCCACTTTGTAAAAAATGAATAATGTTTGCTGAGCAGTTGCTTCAGAATTGAAAAGGACAATGAAATATTGCTTTTTCAAAACAAACTTCAATCATCACAGACTGAAGATTTCTACTCTTGAAGTCAACAGAGCTTGCCTTAAAAGTTTCCAGGGTGGTATACAATGGACTCCAGGGTGCTTTCCTGTGGCTTCAGGGAGAGAAGGGAAGACATTACCCAGGGCACTCTGGGATATTCCCTTGACAAGTTTACTTTGTTTCTCTCCCTACTTGGATTCAAAAAGGCTAGTGCTGGCTCTAGTTTCTCTAGAACATCCTAGGAAGTTGGGTTTTCAAGAGTGATAGGCTGGATGATTCCAACAATCCCTAGAGCCGGCGTCCTCAAACTACGGCCTGCGGGCCACAGGCAGCCTGCCTAGGACATTTATCCGGCCTGCCGGGTGTTTTTGCTGCTGCTGCCTGTCCTGCTTAGCAGCTGACTCGTCCCAGGGCCCGCAGTCTGGCCCTCCAACAGTCTGAGGGACAATGAACTGGCCCCCTGTTTAAAAAGTTTGAGGACTCCTGCCCTAGAGGTTTAAAATGTGGAAAGGAGCTACAATTTTTGTGCAGAATCCTTCTCATGATAAACGTTTTATTCTGGACACAAAGGAGGTTGGTGATCATGGTAACCTTTAATAAAAGAAAGTGGCTACAAAAGCCATCCAAATTCAGATTTGAAGAAGGAGTGGGGGGCAGTAGTAAGAAGAGTAACAATTGTTGCCACAGTTAATATTATCCAATTTTCATAATTTCTATAAAATCTTTAATGTATAATCCTTATTTGAAATGGTATCAAAGGTACTATAAAAGAATTTTCTTAACATAATTCCATAGTCCAGAAAGTCAATTGGTATAAATCACCTGGAATAAAATTCAAAGCCACCTCACTGAGTGAGGCTTCAGAAATTTTTAAAAAGAATATACAAGTGCAAATTTGGTGTACATTGTATTAAAGTGTGGTACTCTTTTTCATACTTAAAATTGCAGGCATTTATAGCTCTGATTCCATTTATGGTTAATAAGAAAAGTACAAAATGTTACACTTTTATTATAAAAATAAATGAGGACTGTTAGAAATTTAGAACTAGAGACCTTAAGAAGCCATGTGTCAATATTATTAAAAATTAATTAGCTGTCTAAAACAATGAAGATGATAATGATCTAGTATCTGACGTATTTGATTTAGGGTTGTGAGACCACTAGGAATTCTAAAAATTACATTTTTAGAGAAGTAATTTGTTTGTACTCTGACAACCTCTTCTGAAAAATTTAATGTGCTTACATATCACTTGGGGATCTTGTTAAAATGCAGATTCTGATGCAACAGATCTGGAATGGCCCTGAAATCCTGCATTTGTAACAAGATGTTGGGTGATGCCAATCCTACTGAATAGTCTGGACCACCTGAGTAGCAAAGGTCTAGAATAGTATCAAAATAAAGTTCCATTACAGTAGTAGAACATTAAAATCTGATCTCTCACCTGTGCCAGCTAATGTTTCCTCAGGTCTATTCTGTTTCCTAAGCACCTCAACTTGCTTAAAATGCCAATTCTTTATATTAGTTATTAATATGAATACTGTTAATAATTATGCATACGAGATTTGCTGTTAAAGAATTACAAAAGGACAACAGGAAAATCATGGTGTCGTCTTACAAATAGTTTAAATTGTACACAGTATTCCTGTTAAATTAATGCAATACCAACTTTCATTGCCTGGTTGCCTTAGAGTTTTTGACTATAAGTTACACCAGTAGATCTTACTCCATTCTATTACTGGAACTAAAAAAATCAAATTCACTTATGTTAACAACCATGTTGTATTCAGAGCTACTGAATGAAAACTAATTCATGCTTTTTGAACAATGGGGTTTAAACTAGTAGCCAAAGCAGTTAGAGTCAAAACTAAATTCAGAGTATAAATGTTTTGGCACTTTTCCAAACATACACAACTTTCACATATCTTTCCTCTGTAGAGAGAGAAACACTAGTGCGCTCTCTTTGTGGCCGCTGTGTACTAACAGTGAAAGAACCCAACACTTGGAAAGCACCCCAGGCCTTCCTCCCAGTGCACTGTCTCTCCCCTTCAGGTCCGCTTTCTCTTTCTCGCTCCAAATTATCACTTAAGTATGCTTGACTCACAGGGAACCTCAGCCATGGACCAAAGGGCTACCCCTGGCAAACACCACATTTTTATGTCCATCTAGAGGTCACACAGTCTTGTACAGTTATATACAAGTTTGTTGAGCTCCTGCCATACCACCTTTTTCATTTTTATATTCTGGTTGGGAGACAGCAAATTGATTATCCCTTTTACATCATAATAAGAACATTTAAAACGTTCTTTAATGTTAAAGAACATTTACATTTTAACATTTAAAAGAAACACATTTCATTTTTTTCATATTTTAGATTCAAGAGCACAAATACAAACAACCCTAAATCAGTTAATATATAAATGTCCTTTGTCCATATTTTACTATATTTTAATGACATTTTCTAGATGAAAAGTTTCCTTCATTTATAGACAAACAATAGTATATAGTTGACACTGGTATCTTGAGAGCTGTGTTGCAAGATTTACAATGATCTCCAGGAAGTCTTCAATGATGTGTGCTCTGGATTATAGGAATCCAAACTAACTAGGGTTTCCAAAGTTGAGCAGCAGGGTAAATCAGTTTTATGGCCTATCACACTTTAGGAATTAGAAGGTATCTTCACTTGCTATATCCATATCAAACACTTCAATACACCTACCAGCAATCTGATTTTTGACATAAAAATGTTCTAAAGGTAACAGAAATGCCTGCACTCATCCCCTAGAATCATATAACAGTGTAGGTACTGAGTAGCCAAGCATTTTCCAGTGCTTTGAACAAACTGCTCTAATCTTAAAGATGATCTTGTTACAAACATTTCCCTCAGGAACTTTTCACACACAGCACTTCTGTGCTTTCACATGCCTGCTTCTCAGCCTGGCTTCCTCATTGGCCAGCTGTGGAATTCCTGGAGCTGTGCCTCTATTCTATCCTTTATAAAACAGTTTCCCTTGACTCCGACAGCCAACAAAATAGGAATTATTAAAAAAAAAAAAAAACTCACCAACTCACATCAGATATAACCAACTTGATTAGATAACCTGACAAATTTATTGTCACACTGATAATCTAAGGGCAACAGTAACAATTAAAAAAGAAGAAAAAAAAAAAACACCTCAAACCAAGGGGGAGAAAATCACAACCAAAGAAATAACAAAACCATATTTTAACTTATTGCAACCCAGACATTATTCCCTTCATAAAGTCAAAGGAGCCTTCAGAATTTAAGACATCAGAGCTCCAGTCAGGGACATGGATGAAAGATTCAGGGAACTCTCATAAAGAAGCAAAGTCATATTTTCAGATTCACTGGTTATGGGAGAAAAATAGTTTACAAATTAATCTGTGGATAGAGTAATGCTAATACTAGGAGGTCTCTGCTGACCTGATTGATGCTTCATTGGAAGTTCCGTTCTTTCTGAAACATAAATAAGCTTTTCTTCTTGGAGGCTACAAGCGGAAAACCTATTGGCATCTGTCCCAGTCCCACAACCAACAGCAGATGATGGATTGTGTGGGACTGTGACACCGCTGACTTGTTCAAAGGATTTACTAAATACAGTCGCCGCGGTCTTAGCCAAACCATGGCTACTAGGCTTAGGTAGGGATTGGCTGGTTGTTAAAGTAAGTCTCTTCAAAGAGAGAAGCTCAAGATTCTCACTTTGGGCTCTCTGAGTTTGTTTTCGAGCAAAGTGATCTTTGCAAGATTCCCCTGTAGTTTCTTTCTCTTTTCCTCCAGTTTTGCTTCCTCCTGACCGTCTCTGGTTCTTTCCTACACTTGTCTTGTTACTACAATTGTGACTACTGTTTGATAAACCCGACTGGCTGGTACTAGACGCAGCCCTGGAATAAAATCCCTCGTCAACTTCAGATATTTCCATCAGTTCTTCTTGACCTGTTAATTCTGTATTTCCTAAACAAAGAAATGACAAAGATTAATTAACATTAAGCATTGTAAGCAATTCCTTTTAAATGATTAATACCGTATCGGTTATATTTCAAATAAATTAACTTAAGCATAATTTCATAAGTCAACAAAGTATAGAATAAAATCAAAGGACAAATCAAAACATTTATTCTAAAAGAAGTCCAAAATGACATTAATGTAGAGTATATTAAACAAAAAGCATGCCATAAACCACACCCCACTATGTTTTTAGACAGAGTTCTCCTATTATTCATGCAAAAGATCAGAAATAATTAGAAAAATTAACACACAGTAAAACTAGAGTAAACCCTTCTGCAGTGTATAATTAAATCAGTGTAAGTTCCTCTTACCTAGGAACTTTTTAAAAAATAGTATTTGAATATTATAAAGAGATTTCTTAGAAGGTTGCATTCCATACTATAGATTATTTTATCAAATTAAAAAAAAATTATCAGAAGCTCAAACTTGCTAAAATTATATAGACATTATCCTTCAAATAAAAGATGGAAAAAATTCAAAGATGAAACATAATTTTGGATCTTAAAACATAAGCAGAAAATTATTTTCCAAGCAATTTTCTGCCTCAGTTTTCGTAACAATTTATGCAGAGACAGTATAGATAGGACCATTCCAAACAGCATTAGGAGTCATGGAGAAATTGTGCATAATTCATGCATTTGGATTATTAGATGACATGCAAAATTTTTGTGATTGTGCAACTGTTGCTTAACATGCATCAGTGGCCCTTTGCCTTGAGATACCTTGGAGTGCAGCTATAAAGTGCTCTGCTAAAACTGCACTCTGCCAGGTGAGTTTATTCCATCCTCCATCATTTTTCTTACAGATTTTTGCCTCCTGATCTCTGGCAAGCTTTTGCTCTCAGTTCTAGGATCTGTGGCTGTTTCCTGCACACCCTGTATATGCTGAGCATCAATCTCTCCTAGCGTTCTGCCTTTTTCCCCATTCCCGCTTCTCTCTCCGGCCACATTTGTGATACTAATCTCAGGAATGACAAGGATGCCCAATTCAGTAGTGTCAGTAGTGTTGTCAGGTTGCTCTAGAAATGAAGATGATAAGACAAAATGATGGCTGAAAACAAAACAAAATAAAAAATGCGAAACAAACAAAAAAAAAACACAAAAGACCCAAACCAAAAATTGGATGACTGAATGTTATGAATTAAACCAAATACATGCACTGTAGAAATTTACATATTTATAATACTCTGACAGCACCAGAGAAAATAAGGTCATGGTCTTTAATTCTAAATAACGAAGAAAAAAATTCACAGAGCATCAATTCATGTTTCATCACATATTTCACATAAATATGAAATAACTTTTTATAAATAAAAATAGAATTTCTATTATTTTAAAGATCATATTGGAACCACTTGAGCTATGTCAAGCCTTAGGCAAATACTCAAGGACATATGGCCAAAAGGTAGCTCTTGTCAACATTAGAACCAAGCTACCTAGGAATTCTCCTTTGTAGACTTAAAATTCCTTTTTTTTTAATACTTGAGATTGACTCAATAAACTATAATATTTGGGAAAATTCTTATTAACATATGAATAATTGGAGATCATTGATATCATTATTAAATAATACCACAGGTATAGTTTTGTCTTACATACCCACCATCTTACATATTAGTAAGTATTAATGTGGCTATGATATAATTAGACAGTCAATTTCTTCAGACTTCATAAATTTAAGCTAACTTGTCATAGTTTATTACTACACTGGAGAAAAATAAAAATGGATTTGGAAAAACAAATGGCTATCAGTTCTGAAAACAGCTATGAAAATGAAACAACAAAACAAAACTCATGACTAGTTAGTACCTGTAGACATGATTTTATTGTCTTAAATCACAAAGGCATGATTTATTTAAATCTGTCAAGAAATTATCTGTAGCAAATAGGAAAAACAATAAATACATCTCAAATGTGACAGCAGTGAAACAAAGTTCAAAGCAACATAAGACTATGTAAAGCACACTTCAAAAAAAAGTAGACCATAAATCTACTCGAGCAACATTACCTGTCATTTTAAAATATTTTTAGTGATAGGATTAGCAAACTTGCTAACAGTGCTAAACTAAGAAACAGTAACATACAGTAAAAGAATGGAGGCTACGTCACACAGTCCTGTGGTTCCCTAACTTTGCTGCACATTGGTATCACCTGGCCATCTTTAAAAACTGCTTCTTCCTGGCTCCCACTCCCAAACATTCTGCTTTATAATTAGTATGAGGTATGAGCTGGGTATCAGGATTTTTAAAGCTCCCAAGTGACTAATGCACATCAAAATTTAGGGACCACTGCTCCATTCTGATTCTTTCAAATTCAGAAAACTTTAAAACAAAATTGTTATAGGTGGCCTGGATACTCCACACCCAGCAGCAATATGCCTTTCTGGAAGTCTCCTCCTCAAACCTTCCTGTTGCCCTGTGCTGGTGAGTCCATGCGCTGATACCATTATTTCCCCTCAACATAGTGCTTCATAAACTTTTGAATAAATCAAGGTTTTCTAAAAGAAAATTTTATTTCCTGGCTAGGCCAAAGAACGTTGGTGGGGAAGTGGTGCACTGCTGCTTCTGGGTGCTCTCTAATAAAGGTTGAATGAAACCAACAAGTTCCAACCAAGTCTATTCCCAATCACTGACTGTCTTCAAAGTGAGGGCAAACAAATTCTTATGGAGGTGTATGTCAGAGGCCACTGCAACTGAGAGTAAAATTGCAATGGCACTGTGGGGTGACAGCCAAGACTGTCTATTTACATTGCAGGAATTGCTATTAAAGGACCTTGGGGGAGGGAGGGAGATTGGTGGGGTCACCTCTATGGTTTACCTTACAAGGATACAAGTGAATCTTTCTAAAAGCAGAGTATGAATGTTTTAACTCAATAACTAAGAAAATGACATGAAGGTTATATTAACCAGTTTGATGAGAGTATTTCAAAATGTATATGAAAACAGTACACTGTACCCCATGATTGCATTAATGTACACAGTTATGCTATAAGAAATAAAAAAAAGAAAAAGAAAAAAAAGGACCTTCAGTCCAAAGGAAAAAAACTTTGGAAATTATCCAGATATACAAAAGCCAATGAACACTAAAATTTATTAAATAAAATTTTAAAAGATAAGGTGACCTAATAGAATAGATAACAATAATACTTACATTGGCACTGAATACCATATTTGAGAGTCTTCACATATATATATTATTTAATTATTTTCTCAAAACAATTTATTAGTGAGCCTCTAAAGTAGGCAATATGATTCCCATTTACAGACAAGGAAACTGAAGTTCAGAAAGAGCTACACAATTATTTAGTGGGGAAGCTAACCAGTGAAATCTGTTGACTGCAAATGTCTATGTACTAACATACTATTAATTCTAGCCCTTCAATTCTTTAGAATCAAATTGAGTTAAATATCCACTGACATTCCACAATTAGGTTTAATTTATTTGCTAAGATTCCTGGTCATTTCATAAAAGGCAAATAATTTACTTTGGCTGAACAGAGAGCCAGAGCAAAGTCTGGAAGAAAATCTAATAAAGTCATAACTGTTAAGGTTTTGTTGTTCATTTTCTTAAACTTGGGTTTATTTTTTAAAAGATGTCAATGAAAGTTATTAATTTAAAATGACGCTTCAATGGTGGAAATTCAGAATTTTGCAAGAAAAACTAGAAAATGACAAGATAACATTATATAAAGCAGTACTAGGAAATCGAATTGCTAATTATACTCTTTGGAGTAGTTGTGAAGATCTGCAGCCTAAGAAGCAATAATACTAATTACTTTTAAATCATGAAGTTAGATGGCAAATAGAAAAATAAGATAACATGTTTTCCTACAAGCACATTTTTTTTTTTTTTTGAGACAGAGTCTTACTATGTTGCCCTCAGTAGAGTGCCATGGCATCGCGCTCAAGCAACCTCAAACTCTCGGGCTTAAGCAATTCTCTTGCCTCAGCCTCCCAAGTAGCTGGGACTATAGGCGCCCACCACAACTCCCAGCTATTTTTGGTTGCAGTTGTCATTGTTGTTTAGCAGACCTGGGCAGGGCTTGAACTGGCCAGCCTTGGTGTCTGTGGCTGGCACCCTACTCACTGAGCTACGGGCACCCAGCCAAACACAAATTTTTGATGCATATTATCACTCAAAAATGGTAACAAATGGCAGACTTTTAAAACTGCTTATTGAATTTATAAAAAGAAAAGCATGTAATTCTGTACAGAGCTAGAAAGAACACAAACATAATTCTGTGGGAAATTAAAAAATAAAGAAAGATGGGCTCCTGTGGCTCAAAGGAGAAGGGCGCCGGCCCGATATACTGGAGGTGGTGAGTTCAAACCCAGCCCCAGCCAAAAACTCCAAAAAAAAAAAAAGAAAAAGAAAGATTGTTAGGTAACACAAACAAACATTTGTTAACATGATTGTGTTCTCTATTACCTCTCTGACTTCTTCCCTTACATTATAAACTCTGTGACCCCAATCTCCTGACCCACACTTTCTTCCTGGCCTCCTGGCTGCTCTTTTGCAAGTGGATGAATGGCTCATCTCCTTACTCTCCTTCAGGTTTTTTCTGAATAATTTCCCTGATCAGTCCATCAAAAGTTTCAATATTTCTCATATTTAATCTACCCTCTTCCCTATTTTATTTCTTTTTAGCACTTACCACTCTCTAACCTACAATTATGTATTCATGTTATTTATTAGAGGGAAGTTCCATGAGGGCTGAGATTTTTATTTTGTTTAGTCACTGCTATATACCTAATAACAGGACAAGTAGCTTGTATGTTTATAGATACCTAATAAATCTTTGATTTATAAATTGAATGAATCTCCTATTGAGATGAAATTATTAGAATATATAACAATGAAAAAACATGCAGAAGATCTGACAAGAAAAAGGTAAGCTAGGGATGGATTACTTGACTGGACAAAAGAAGAAAAATATATATAGCTTAT